GGATAAAAAGTTGGCTGCCTCACAATTTACATTGCTGGGCAACCAACATAAAAAACCCAATCTTTTCATACATAAAAATAACTAACAAAAAGAATAACGAATTTAAGTATAATTAAAACAGTATGCGGTGATGAAAATTTATAGAAAATATAGATGCAAAAATTGTGGCGGACCCAGTGCATTTGCCTTGAAGGGTCGCAAATATGAAGCTTTTAATTATTAAACATTGAACACGAATACCGAACACTTTTATTACATATTACTTTAACTAAGTTTACCTTATTTATGCGCATTTCGATAGCACATCGGCTATCATCATCATCAAAATCTCGATTCGTACTAAGGATTATCTCTCAGTACACGTCAATGTGTTAGTGCAAGTTTAAAAAGACTTGACTTTATCGGAGGATCGTCAATGTTCGTCAGTTCCGGTCCATTTTCTATGTACAAACTTTAACAAGCGTCCAATTGTCTCTCGTCTCTTACTTCTTTGATTATCTTGCCGTCAGCCATTTCATGTGTTTCATCAATGCACTGCATGGCCATAGCAGATTTCTTTCTTTGCCCTTTCCTGAAATATCTCTTATGTTCTTTGTACCGATCGCTGAATCTTCTAAAAGTTTGTCCAATATATTTGCTTGGACAATTTGCACAGCTGATTTCATAAATTCCAGGTTGTTCTTTCATCGGGATCTTGTCTTTGGAGCTTCCAAGTAAGTCTTTCAAATTTTCATTCGTTGTAAAATAAGGATTGATGTTGTGTTTTTTCAGAATTTTTTCCACTTTATATGCCAAAGAGGGAAAGAAAGGAATTTCACAAAAAATATTTTTATGTTTTCCATTTCGCAATGTAGCTATTTTCCTCTCTTTTTTCAATGGTTCTAGAGTCGTGAGCTCTTTTCTTTTTCCATCTATGTTTATCAAAAATGATTTCAATACGATCTCTTTTATAACCGTTGATAGCAGCCGTTTCCAATATGAAGTTTTCTTCTTTCTCATGTCTATCTTTATTCAACGTGTATTGAGAGATAATCCTTAGTACGAATCGAGATTCTGATGATGATAGCCGATGCGCTATCGAAATGCGCATAAATAAGGTAAACTTAGTTAAAGTAATAAGTAATAAAAGTGTTCGGTATTCGTGTTCAATGTTTAATAATTAGTGATACTTATTACTTACGTGTTTCAAAATAGTTAAAATATAGTATGAAGCTTTTGCTTAATTATAGAATATTTACAATTTATAAAAGGTTAAGTTCACTAAATTTGATCCAAGAAGATGATTTTCAGGGCGTCAACTTTCTTTTATTATTTTTTACAGCATTGTAATCGGATGTTGAGAGCTTCCAAAATCACTTAAAACATCTTCTCAAACCTCCGATGAGATGGAATAACATTTCAAAGTTGAAAAATATATTTTTTTCATATTTTATCTAAAGTTTTCCTGAGATTGACTCCATAGCATGGTACATCAAAATCTGTTTTTTCAAAATTCTTTATTTTTAATTTTTGAAAAGTTAATATTAAGACAGTTTGTCAATATTTTTTAAAACTAAAAAGATATAGCCATTAAGAAATTGAACCTTTGTCGAAAATAGTTTTCCCAAAAATTGAAGTTAACCAAAAGTTTTCATCTACATTGCTTTCTTTTATGTTTGAAAATAAATTTCTATGCTTATTAAAATCAAAAATAACCTTCCGTGATAATAACAAGAAGGGAAAAAGATAAAATCTAAAAGGAAAATGTTTTAGATTAATTTGATTATCTGAATTTTTGATTCGATTGATATTATTATGCAGCGTTCTATGAAAATATTTCTCTTTATAGAAAATCCAGGAATTTTAAGAAACTCTAAATCTGCTTCTTTACTTGTCATGAAATTTCAGAGACAAACTGTCGCGTGGTTACACTCACCAATGAGACATCGAAAAAAAAAATGTTATTTTACAATTCAATATTATTCAATCGATCGTGCAGAGCAAACCAATGCGGATCTAAAACATACGAATGAATGAACAAAAAGTCAACACAAAATATGCATGAAACTGTTTAAACGGACTTTGTGTTTTTATGAAGACGTCACGTGCAGTTTTCAAAGATCATTGGTTGTGAATTGAAATGCAGATTGATAGCATAATAATGACTAACCGGAATGAGAAGCAAATTTTTTATTTATATTTGCCACAAAGCTTTGAATTTTGTTTTATAATTTATTGGTTGAAGAATCTTTTTCACTTTGTAAATGATTCAAAATTTCTTTACACGTAGCAATTGGTAAGAAACAAGAATTCATCTGTAATCATAACAAGGCTCCGAAGCGTGTTAATTGTGCAACATATAGAGTTATGTATAAATTAACACCCTTAAAAATTTACGTGACTTCCAAGTGTTGGCCATTATTCTTGAGACCGGACCTTTATCATTTAACGTTACTTACTTCATTAGCATAATTTGTTTCACTCTTGCCGATGATGATTGCATGCTAAGTAAGTTTTGGCTTAGAATTTTGTATCTGATTGAATTGAAGAAAGAATATCGCCGTGGTTCGAATGTGAACAAAAATCTTTTGTATATATAAAGGTTCTCGAATCATGCAAAAAACATTCCAGTTCTTGCTTGCTTCTTGTCGAAAGAACTCTTGATAATAAGTAAATTTAAAATCTAGCTAAATAGCAATTACAGTTTTAATCTCAGAAGTGAACATTCTTTTAATTAAAATCAAGTCATGGGAATTATTTCTTTCTTGTTTTATTTTGTGTGCGTTTTTGAAATTTTAAATGCGACTCCTTTGAGAAGAGGTGGAATGGTTTTGTACCAAAGCCAACCTGGCTTCGTTAATGGAAATCGTGCATTTATTATGCAATACGCTAGTCAACCATACAAGAAACGTAATGCTCAAGCGTCAGGTGTTACTGCTTTCGTATCTGGGAAAAAAATTGCAGCTGGAACTTATTTGAAGCGTAAGTGAATGAAAATATTTTTAAATAAGAAATCTTCAAGAAAATTTTCCATTTCTATTTAAGATGCTGAACTAATTGATGATGAACAAGAGCAACGCTTTAATGAACAACCTGAAGGTTCAGTTCAATCAGTGGCCAACGCTTATCCTGCTTACGATAATGACGACGATCGAAAGTATGAAGAATCTGATCCTAACAACCCAGCTGCAAGTTATCCAGCTGGTGATTACCCAGTCGCTCCCCAACCTGAATACACTCCACCAATTGGCGTTCAACCAACCGATGTCGCAAAAACCGAAGACAACGAACATCACCAAGCAAATGAAGACGATGATGAAGAAGAAGAAGAAAATTTCCCTTTGAGAGCCAACAATCGAAGACCGTCAAGCAACCATTACTTCCCTGTCACTTTCGGATCAACTTATGGTGGCGCAATTGCAATTGCAAACAGTTACAGTGCTGGAAAAGGTAAATAAAAAGACATTTGAAAATATTTTAAAATTAAATGCAAAATTGCTTCTCTGCCAGCAGGTTCTGCATCAAGTACCGCAACTGCATACGGCTCAGCAAATAAAAAATCTAAGAAACGAGTAAGTCAGCAATAAGAATCTAGCTTGAAAGAATGTTTATCCTCGATTGACTAATAAAATATCAACTACCATGGCTACAAAACGGCAAATGTTCTTTGTCATTGAATCAATTGATAAGGGCTTAATTTAATTATTTAATCTTAAAAATGAGCTAATAAAATGTCAAAATGAGACAAAAAAAAGTCTTTTCTTAATCCAATTTCATTATTGATCGAAAATATATAAGCAAACAATATCCTGAAAAGGGTAAGCAAAGTTTAAGGTTCTGGTTTTGAAATGGGAACTTTTACGCAACTGTTTTGTACGAAGAAAAATGTTTTTGTAGGAAGAAAAATGTTTTTGTAGGAAGAAATATGTTTTTGTAGGCAATTTACAATGGAAATATGCCGAAAGGCAATGTTTTACAATAAGCAATCAAATACACTTCATTAATGAGTAAAAAAAGTTGAACAAAGGTTTTGTACCCAAACCCGGGTTGACAATTTTCATTGGAATTTCCCAATTTAAATTCTTTTTAACAATGAAAATTTGTTATTGAAAATCCTCACGATGGGCTTGTCCTATTTCCTGCAATTTTCCTAGGATTCCTAGGATTCCTAGGAATCTTAGGAATCCTAGGATTCCTATGCATAGGATTCCTAGGAATCCTAGGAATCTTAGGAATCCTAGGAATCCTATGCATAGGAATCCTAGGAATAATAGGAAAATTGCAGGAAATTCCACTGCAAGAAATAACTTAATCCCGATTTAATTAAATTAAAAAAGGATTAAGTTCTTTCCTAGGAATCCTATGCATAGTATTCCTAGGAATCCTAGGAATCCTAGGAAACTTAGGAATCCTAAGACATGACGATAATCGATTACACAATCCATTTATATTATTTGGATAGTTTTTTCTTTTTAAAATGATTCGATTTTAAGTTTAATTTATTCTTTGTCGCCCATCTTGACTTTGCTTGTCATGTAGATGCCAACGATAAGTCCAAAGAGACCGATGGCAGATCCGAAGATCTCGACAATTAGGATTTTCACGAAGAGGGCAGAGTTAGCAGCATCAGCAAGTGCAGCAGCCTTAAAAACGATTTAGATGATGCAAATAAAAATACGAAATCAAATTTAGTGTAATGACCCCAGAAAATTTGATCGAGACTGTGACAAATGATGATCGAAAGCTTTCCCAGCGATTGATACATATTTATGTATCTATAAGTTTCAAAATATTTTTTTATTTTACTTTTCTTCCATCTCTCCAGCATGAAACCATTTAATTTTGACGCTGAAGGAGAAATGCCTACATTGCAATTGTCTTTCTAAACTTTTTCATTTTCTTTTTCAAGTCTCATCTCTAAATAATTTCAGTTTATGATGTGTGTACGCGTTGTTTCTATGTAAATATTTTCTAGAAATAGTAAAATATTATGATAACGATAATAAATTCAAAGCAATAAATTCTGCAACATGAAGTGATCTGTCTTGCTTTAGAATAGAATTTTTTATTTGTTGTAACAAAAATTAATGATGAAAAATAAAGTAAGAAAATTCAAACTTCACTGTGTAGAACTTTAAATGTTGAGAAATAATTATTTTTGTCGTCTTTAAAAGATGGAAAGAAAAAATATGTTTTTCATGTGAAGAAGTTGAAGAAAATAATAAAAAACACTTTGTTGCTTGTCTTTTCTTTTACATACATATAAACTCCAGTCTCCAACTAACTCTCGACAGCAATGTGTGATTCCTAGGAATCCTAAGAAAACTGCAGGAAATTCCACTTTTTTTTGCAGGAAATTCCACTTTGAAAGTGGAATTTCCTGCAAAAGAGTGGAATTTCCTGCAATCTTCCTAGGATTCCTAGGAATCTTAGGAATCCTAGGAATCCTAGGATTCCTAGGAAAAATCTTAATCTAACCTTTAGTTAATCCTGAAATTTCTTAATCCTGCCTGCAATTTTCCTAGGATTCCTAGGAATCTTAGGAATCCTAGGAATCCTAGGATTCCTAGGAAAAATCTTAATCTAACCTTTAGTTAATCCTGAAATTTCTTAATCCTGCCTGCAATTTTCCTAGGATTCCTAGTATTCCTAAGATTCCTAGGATTCCTATATATAGGAATCCTAGCATTCCTAGGATTCCTAAGATTCCTAGGATTCCTATGCATAGGATTCCTAGGAATCCTAGGAAAATTGCAGGAAATTCCACTGCAGGAAATAGGACCCACTCCTCACGATTTCAACATTATTTCGCTAATTGAATAAACCAGAATAAAGCAATCAATTTTCGAAAATTACAAACCTTTTCCAAAATTTTATTTTCTTTCAATTTCAATAAAATTGAAATTCACGATAAAATAAAAATGGAAGTTTATTAAATTTCTCTTCATAATGCTTCTGAATTTTGTATTTTGGAACTTCCTGGAAAATTTTAAGTCAATTTTCATTGAAAATTCAATTGAAATTTTATGAAAAAGTTGTTGCCGCAAAAGTCGTATCCAGATAGAAAGTATTCGTTTGGAATAAATAAGCACATAAAAGCTTAATTTTTTTATTTGAAAGGTCTGAAAATTTTATGAAGGGAAAAGTTAAATATTCAAATGCTATTAATAATTTCTAAAGCTTTTTAAAAACATAAAATATTTATAAACCTTTCGAGTTATTCGTTTATGGTCACATTTATTATCATTTATGCTATCACAGAACATATCTAATATGTATAAGTGTAAGAAGGTGTATAAAATATCTAACATCAATCAAATAATTACAAAAAACTTTCTATGATATATTTTAAGACAGTTCAAAGCCTGTGTTGCTGGTTATTGCATACCGAAGCTTATCACGGAGCGTACTTTTTTTCTGGTAATTTGGTAACCTGTAAATACAAAAATTTGATTGTCACTTTTAAGAATTTGTCATATTATAATTTTTTACTTCAATAAATTGAAACATGTGGAACTTGAAGGGAGTCTAAGCAACGGTTCTCTCTTTCGAATCGTAAAAAATCCTCGAATGACACTGCCAATTGTATCGCCTGCTAAACAATATTTATCCATTTATTTCTATTTTAAATTAAAACCTTTTTACTTGCCTGTATCGTCATCGTCACCAACTTCGACACATCTTATCGAGAACTGAGGTTCCATATGAGCGAATCCCAAAAGTGGGGGTCTAAAAGGATTTTCATCAAATCAATTTTAATTTTACCAATTAATTTAAGTTAATTTACCTCGAACAACTTGTCACAAATTTTAAAAACAAACGACGCTCTTCCTCTGTAAAATCTTTTGCTAAAATGTCCCACAACCATCCAATAACTCGATGCGAATCGTGAAAACCTCCAAAGTATTGAGTATTTCGACGTAAATCTTTCAAATCTAAAGGATTTGTGTCACCCGATATTAAACGTTGAAGTTCAACCATCGAGAAAAGTGAAAGCCAATCAGAGTTAATAATCGAACGAAAACCTCTGATGAACGCTGATGTTTGTTCCCAAATTTGTGTATGCATACGAAAGAAAGCCATGCTATGAATGTAATTAATTCTGTTATCGTTAGTCACTTGTTGAAGACGTCCACCTGGCACAAGTTCATGTGTAATAATTTTTCCCATGACATCTTCGTCAACCGAGAATGTCAAATCCAAGTCCGAGACATCGCCCTAAATCGAACAAATTGCTTAGTTATTTGGAAAAGTTATGTCTTAATAGAAAATTTACCTCGTAATGCTTAATAAAAGTTAAGCTTTTATATAAATCCTTATCCAATGAAGGTAATTCGTCAATACAAGAGTAGAATGCTTGTTGGGTTTGTCCAAGTACTAATGAAAGAAAGAACGATGCGAAAGGAACGTCAACTAAAATTCCTTCGTATAAAGCTTTTCCAAGAATTCGACCGACGAATTCGAACAATTGCAAATGATTCTCTTGAAGATGAGATGTGGGCGAAGGATATAAACGATTTTCAGCTGTCATTTTGAAAAGATTAAGTGAAGGGTCGAAAACCCTTTTAATAGTCTCTTCAAGGAATTCTTTAAATACTCCGTCTTGATCAATCCCCGCTTCGTCAAGTCCTTGTTGATTTATAAACCTCACTCGAATGATTCCTTTTAATGATCTTGGGGGAAGGGCAGCCAACTGCCTATAACCGTCTTCAACAATTCTATCTCTGTGAACTGTTACTAGAGCTGAGCTAGGCGTATAAGCGGAATCTGTCAATCCCAGCACTGCCTTTTCATTCTGAACATATTTTCGGAACAATGCGACCCTTTCTTGATGTGAAATGATATGCGGCATCTTCTGCAATAGCAATTGCACATGTTTCTTTCCTTTCTCAAGATCCATCAAGAAATATGCGGGTTTTATATCTTTAATGATCCAATGATTTTCCGGAGCAAACGCTCGACGGTTGTCACGACGATACAAACAAAGAAGTAAAGTGTGCATTGATACAAATAAAGGACAATTGAATACAACTTTCGCTTCGTAAATATTTTCATGAACGGTTTTGAAGAGTAAATTGTTGAGAAAATGTGACAGAATAATGTAATCGTCAAGCGAGAAGAGAGTTTGTTGTTCGTACATCTCTAAATCGTCTAATATGGTAACATAATGAGTCATTGATTCACAAAAAAGAAGTAACAACAATGCTGGTGGATTATTAACGTCGTCATATCTTATCACATCAATGAAACTTTTGATACCCAATGAAATGATTGTTGTCCATAAATCTTTGAGAATTGTTCCATTGTAGCAAATTCCAGATAAAATGTCAAGTTTCAATTGTGGAAGTGTCACTAATGCTTCATAATACATTGCACAGGTAAGTGCAACTCGTTGAATATCATTTGAGTCAAACTTCTTATTAGATTTCGAACTCTTGTTGATTATTCCACTTTTTAATTCAATTGCTTTCTTTATAAATGAGTTTGACGATACAGCACTTGATGAGGTATTTGTTTCCTTTTCATTCTTCTCTAACATTGAAGCAACTTGCTTTAAATGATCACCGAACAGCATTTTGGTCAGTTTATGACTCCAGAGAAGATTAACTTGCTTCTTTATTAAAGACAAATTCTCGTAAATTGTCTCGTTGGCTTTACTGGCATTGTACCAACCTAAGAGTTCATGCCATTGACTGCATGTTCCTCTCTGTTCGACAGTGTCTGGAATTGTTTCGAAAAGTGTCTTCATCATGAATATTATCTGTCGATAAGACATTTCCTGAGCGACTTCTATCGGTTCCATGTTATATAAATGAATTAAATTCGCAGTTAAAGCAAGCAATTTTGCACCTTGTAAACTATTGGCAATAAACTTAAAATTATCTTTTTCACATATTGTATCAACACATTTCTTAAATAATCCTCGACTTTGGAAGCTTTTTAAAGTGCTTGGTGTAAGCTGTTCAATATGATAAATCAATGCTGGAATTGATAGCACATGACAAATAAATTGCATGAGAAGATTTTGTGTGAAGTTTGCATTGATGAGAGGTCGAATTGATAATGTTATGACTGCATTTAGTGACACTGGCTTTAAAGCAACGACAGAACGGCAAGTTCCTTTGACAAGAATTGACTGAAAATGAGGAAAGTTTATTAAATTTAAAAATGAAAACATTTCAAATTTATTTCTTACTCTTAGACTTATAAAAAATCCTTTTTGTATAAGAAACCCTAAGACATTGTTACATATTTGCTGCATTGCTGGCTTCATAACAATGAGTTGTTTATTTTTTAAAATGCACCATCCATTTGGGCAGGTAAATGCTACAAGTGTCCTTAAAATTAATGCCAATGACACAGTGTCGCTGTGAGTTTCAGGTTTCAAGGAATCAAGGATGGTGCAACATTTGAATAGAAGTTGCTTCAAATGATTTATGAATGAAAGACTATGCTCTTTATTAAGAGCTAGTCCAACATAACTCAGTTTTGGCGATTCTGAATCAAGACTTATTAAAAGATATCTGCATAAACCTTCGAAGCGCTTTCGATTTTCTTCAGACTCTTCTTCTGACTTCCATGACACTAATAAGAAACGTGATGCACTTTTATAAACTTGTAGATTTGGCTTTAATTCTATATCTGTTGTGTCATCTGGGATTGACATTGGAATCAGATTGGAAAAGTCATCTCTGTATCAAAAACAAATAAAATTCACTTTATAATTTGAATGATTAGAAAACTGATAAAAGAATTAACATACAAGATTTCTTTTTTAAACTTTGTCCTCGCTATCCAACCACGGAAAGTCTTTTGTATACAAACAGCAGCTTGTGTACGTTCTTGCTCAATTTCTATCTTTTTATGTCTTTCATTTCTACGTGATTTTATATTTTCTAGAAACTTTGATTGATCCGACTTATCCATGTTAAATGTATATGTTAAAGTCCTTTTACCATTCAATTTTTTCAAAACACAATAAATGTCATCTTTTTTCAATACACTTTTCAATTATTTTATATTTATTTTTTTACAGCGATTTAAATGTTTACTTTATTTTGCGAAAAAATTGTTTTTCAACCGATTGACATTACCTTGTGAAAAGAAAAATATCGTGAGACAAAAAAGTATACAAATTGAAATTATAAAATATAAAAATATAAAAACCGTTAATTTTTCTTTGAACGATTCCATGAAACTTTAAGAAACATTATAAAAATTTAAAATGTCCATATTTTGTAGATGTTGAAGCATCATCTGAAATTCATTAATAACATAAATAATAGTTCTGTTCAATCAATTCAAGATCCTTTATTTCTTTTGTTTTTAAAAACAGTTTTACATTTCAGTTGTTCTTACAAAATTTGTGTGATTCTTTCAAATGATTTTTTCTTTCCTTCGTGATCAAATATTTTCTATGTATAGTTATATACAATCCATTATTATTTTCTTGTGAAATTCACACATTCTCTAGGGTTATGAAGGACTGAATTATTATAGAAAACATAAACTTCAAATCTTACGTTAAATATCAGACAGGAAGAATGAAAGCTGACACTGAGACACAAAGTACCACTAAATTAATCAGTTTTTTTTATTATTTTTACATTTTCTTCTTCAATTGTTATCTTTAAAAACTTATCACTTTTCTTACTTATTATCTAAATGTGACGATTTTGTTTTTATTTGGTACAATAGTTTAACCATTGTAATTAAATTTGAATGTTTAATAACAAGGTGGTTCGTGTTACTTACATATGTGTTATGCATGATCGTATTTATGTTATGTTGAGGTGCATCACATGGTATTCATATGAATAAAATGATCAGAGGATCATGCATGTATGTAATCTGCTTGATAAACCAGTTAATTATTACATATGTATCTTTATATATATATATTTATATTCCCTTCGGTTTGATTGTGACCCGTGCTAAAGACTTGATAGATGAATTAATACGTTTTACTCATTAAAAAAATGTTTTGAGGGAGGGTGAAAAGAAATATTTCGTTTGTAAGTTTTGAATTGTTTTGCAATTAGTTCCTTGTACGTTGAAAATACCAAAACAAAAGCGTCGCATTAGAAGAGGTGGTAAATCATATTTACATACATATTTTAAGCAATTCATAAAAGAATGCTTCCTCGAAGCCACAAAATTTATATAAATTGAGATCTAAATTAAAAAAAATCAGTCAATTTCTAAAGGAAATATCGAGAAGAAAAGAAAATTTGATTAAAAAGAATACTATCATTAAAATTTCATTTAATTTTATCTAGAAATATCTTAAAAAATAATTTTCGTCCTACAATTTTCAATAAAACAAAAATCTAATTTGAATGTGGTGTTTTAAAACTGTGCAAATTGTGCACAGCATTATCGTGCGCTAATTTGCGGTAAAATTTTTAAACTCCAAAAATAAATCGACAAATTTAGAATTTAAATTTTTTAATGAGAAGTTCGAGATGAACAAAAGTTTGCGGCAGTTAAAAAAGTTGTAAATCCAACACACTACATTTCTTATGAATTTAATTTCTAACAATCGACTATCACTAAAATCTTGGACCTTCAAACATTCGATTTCTCATTCTTAAATTTAAATACCATAAAATAATGAAAGAATTAGAAAGTGTAAGTCTCTTATTTAAAAATAAATTTGTGAATACACAAGTTAATGTCTAAAAAATTTTATTCTGATATTTAAACGAAGGAATGTCAAGAAAATCGTAGATCAATTTCGTTCCAAAATTATTCTTTTTGTTATCATTTACTAAACTTCATGGTAGAAAAATAAAATATTTATTTATAAATTTTCTCTTATTACCGAAAATGAATTTCAATTTTAGTAAACTCACAAAAGGTAAAGTTTTGCCTTGGCAAAGTTGCTCTATGAAGACATCAAATTTATTATTTTGATATAAAAAACCAACTTGGATGCTTTTATTGGATATACTTATATGAACACACACGCGTTTTGTAAAACCATAACTATTATTCTCTGTACAAAATTCTTTTACCACCATGTTAAACTTTAATCTCAATATCTTCTACATTGAATACTTGATTAAAAAAATCCACTTTCTGAATTATTCGATCGTTTTGTTTAAAGCCTGCATACCATGTTTGAAGGGGGATTTGAAGTTTAGATTCTGAAGTTTGGAAAAACATGCGTTAATTAGATTATATTTTTTTTCTCTTTTTCATAAAGCCACAAACTTCACTTTGATAGGTCAAAGTGATACATATGATCATTTAAGATGATTCAGTTATTTTGTTTCTTCATCAAATTGCGTCTTTTCTAGTTCTCTTTCTTCTTGATTTTGTCACATATATTTTGTTTAATTTTTTTTATTTTTTTATGTGTGTTTTTATTTTAATTACACTTAAACATTCATTTATGAAAATAGTTACTAAAACGTTCACACTTCTTACTTGTAGATATCTTTCAAACTTCTCAAGTCGATATTATTTTTCAAAGTCTGTTTTATCTTTCTTAAATATTTTCTACCAATTCTTATTATTTTTTTATGTTCGTCTACATTTTTTTCTATTGTTGCCTTCCTCATTTCTGTTTGACAAAAGATTTTATTGCAAATACTTTTACAGCCATAATCGCAAAATAATATTTTTTGAAAATCAAATGAAGAAGAAAGTCAACCAGGATTTTCATTCTGAATTTAATTATTAAGATTTCTTTTGCGAGTATGACTGCAAATTAATATTGACTCTAAATAAAATATAAAAAATCTATTCGTTTCCAAAGTCTTTTCTAATTTTCGCAGTTTTTGTTTCTTTCTTTTGTTTATTTATAAACACGCAAGTGTTTTTTGTTTATGTTAAAGCCTGAAAAAATTAATGAGTTTAAACTTAAACTTCAGATTCTTCATGTTTGTTGGCTCTAACGATTCATTGTCATCACCATTGAACTGGACTTGGTGGCAACTCGCTTGGTGTCGCGACTGTTGAACTGTAATTGCATAATAAAAACTATAATCAATATGATATTCTAACCAAATTCCTATCTTTAACTTAATTCCTAATAATATTAAGTAATAATCTGTTTTTATATTGTGCATAAATTGATATCTTTCTTGCATATTTCTTAGACATTGTACTTAGTAAAAACTTTCTTATAAAAATAGATTTATGTTTAGATATTGTTAATTCAAGTTAAAAAAACTAATTTTAAAAATAACTAAGTGTCTTAACTTTTTTGACAAATGATTCATTTGTAAATTTTCTAATAAATTCAAAGATTAAAAAATTTATGAAATAAATATTCACAATGAATTTAAAGAACTTAAGAGAGATATTTTATATCTAAAAATATCTTTTGAGTTGAAATCAATTTTTATAAACATCTCAATATTCTTGAAAACCACAAACCTAAAATAAATCTTTATCCACCCATTAAACAAAGCATTTTGTCTTGCATTATATCCATTACTAAATCTCAGAACTTTAAGAAAAAAAAAGTCCATCAATGCATTTCAATTTCTATTTTAAGTAGATAATAAAAAAATCTTTGTGTCACTCTAAGAAATTAGTAAGAAAATATGCAAAAACAAGTCTTGATGACCAAAAAAATTAAACTAGACACCTACACATAAGATTAAAACAAAACTCATGTAAGTATCTATGCAGATATTTAGAAAACTTAAAAATATTTTTAATTGTGCTTCCCGTTTTTAGTAACGTCATGTAAGCAGATTTCGACTTTAATTATCTTTTGAATTTATATTTCTTTATTTTGAAAGGTTTTCAATTTGCATTTCTTTCATTATGGGAGTTATTTGTGCATGATCTGTTTCTTTCAGACCTTATAAATTCAAAAATATTCATTCTAAGCATGAGTCAACTCATAAATTAATAACGTTTGAAAAAAAAACTAATATAGTTCAAGAAAACTTAATTAGGTATGTACAAATTGCTCATTTAGAAAAATTTGCCATTTAAGGTAACAAACAATGATTTTGATCAGATTCTGAAACTATTTCTCATTATCTAATGTTCTAATTTCTTTGTTTCAAAACTAAGCGTCTAAATAAATTTAAACACTGAACATGCCAGTCATCTGTCAGTCTTCTTTTGTGTATTCTTTTATTATTTGGAGATGTTTTAGGTAACATTTTATTAAACTTTGGCTACGCAGCATATAAAAATACAACCGGCGATAACAAAATTTTTAAAGTCGTTCTCAATGGTGATGGCAAATCGAAACAATCTTGGTTAGATTTTGTTTTTCTGTAATAAACGATGATTGTTAAAAATTATTTCAAATGTCAAAAGAAAAAAGTTACAAAAATCAATTTTGATTGTCCAAAAAAGTATTGGAAATTTTAAATTTTAATTATCGTTTATTACTTGTGGTTTTGTTAGTTATTAGTAGCAGTTGTAGATATGAAAACAACACATCTTCTTTTTCTTAATGCTTAGATATAAGAAAAATAAATAAATAAATAAATAAATAATATTAAAAATATTCTAAAATAAAGATTTCTTTTGCGAATAAGTTTTGCAAAACACTAACAACATACATGGATGGTACAGACTACTAAAATGATTATTTAAAATTATTTTTGAATACATATGATCGGACCATGAAGCTACACAGACAACTGTGTAGACACTTTAGGATTCCTTTTTATAAGAGTTAGGGTTGAATCTAATATGTACATGCTAGGTAGATGTTATTTTTATGGTTTCTATGCTTATGAATACCCAAATCAAAGAAAATTGATGAAAAGAAGAAAGAAAAGATAGACACAAAAGATTTGAAAATAAATCTAAGAAAACAACTCGTCTAACGATTATATTTTCACCGTAAAAAATGATTTTATATAAAGCAAAGCAAGTAGAAAGTCTTTTATTAAGTGCAAGTTTTTCTGTTTCTTTATAACACAAAAAAAAAGTTTCTCTTTCTTTAACAAACCGACAAGATATTTTATATTTTTCATCGTTTGATAATGTTTAGAACGGTCTAGTTTTAAAGATAACTATCGTCTGGAAATGATTGTTATTCTCTCTCGAAAATAAAAGAATTAAACAGATGAAATGAAAGTTGTACCTCTATTCTTAACATTTATTGATAAACCTCATGTTATGTTGTCAAAATTAATTAAATATGTTTGTTTGCTTCTTTTTAAAATCAACACGATAGTTCAGTGACATTCATATGTGTATGTGTGGGTGTATGCTTATGACATCTACTTACTTGCAAAAGAATCAGATTACATATCAATATTTATGAGAATTAAAAAGCATTAGAAAGAAAATTAAAAAATATATTAAAATCCCTTTCGAATTTATGTTAATTAAAAAATTCTCAACGAAACGTCAATTGTCCCAAATGTAATTAGGAACTCAAAGTTATTTACAAACTGATCAAATGAATTAGATATATTTAAAGAAAAATGCAACATATATTATTTTAAAAACAAGAAGTGGTATAAAATATCATATGACACACCTAGTTTTGGAGACGATAATTAAGTTCTTGAAGAGTTGACGATTGTAAAGATTTTAGCAAATCGTGTTCTTGATTAGTATTCAGACAGTTTTTAAATCATTTGATTTCATGATCTACTTTTGTCTAGAAATATATAGAAAAATTATATCATTGGTTTTGTTGCAAAAAGAAATTAAATTACAATGTGTTTTTGACAACTTTTAAAATAATTAATTGATTTCGATATTATTTTTAAATGAATATTAATTATAAAACATTGATTATGATAGAGTAATTTGCAGAGTTTGGGGGGAAAAGAGATAAAAGAAAAATGTGTTGTTCTAGGAGTTCGTTAAGCCTTTTGCGATTAAGCTAAAATTGAACGATTATTTGGCTTTTCTAGATAGATTTTCCTTATATCAATGCGTGGGTGAAAGTGATTAGAAAGAAATGATGATAAAAGTGTGATCTATTCATAGACTGGAGGAAAAGAATTAAATAAAATTTACTTGATCTGCATGCACTCCAAATTAAAAGAAACTTCTCTGCTCTCCTAAATTCTAATAAAAATCTACTTTAAAATTATTGAAACTTCCAGTCTATGGTTGAAACAGAGTTATGACTAAATATCTATTTAATTTAACCGACAAACCATAACTTTGTTTCCAAATTTTTCACTAGCTAAAAGGATAAAATAAGGAAATGTTTTCAAAGTGAAAATAAAAAAGCTCTCAAAATTACTCAGTCTCATTAATTATTTTAAGTTCAATCAATTTTCTCTTTTTGTAATATTCTACATTTCATAACAATGATTTTATAATTGGGTAAGGATAAAAAATTAAACTTATTTGACTGAATTCTTTCAAAATAAATCAAAATGAAAAACACAATGAAACAAATCCTAAAATGCAAATTCAACTGCATAAGTTGAAAACAAAGTCAAATATGTTTATCGATACCCAAAAGATGATGTAAAAGAAAGAAGTCATTAACATACCTTGCAAAGCTTTTAAAAGCAGCAGATTGTGGATTTATACAGAGTGGAACTCGTCCTGTTTGTAACTGTTCGGCAATAAATTTGTGCATCTCCTCTGTTGAATGAATAAAAGTATTTAAAAACTTTCAATCCTTAGCTAAGAATTAATTACAAACCTTTAACTTGTTGCACTGATGTTAATTTTCGTTCCCAAAGATCATCAAATGGCTGCGCTGCAGCAGGTTCGAAATCTGCTGTATATTGTCTCATGCCACCAGACGTTGTATAACAACATTTACACATACACGAATGATAACGTAATCGACCTTCATCGAGATAAGGATGAGCAAGTGCATCGATAACGGATATTCTTTTATCCTTTTAAACAGAACAGATTTTGATAAAGAAAATTTCATTGATATGTTACAAAACATTTACCGGATCAAAGACAAGCATTTGACAAAGCAAATGAACAGCTTCATGTGTTGCATGAGAGCTTAGCGTATACAAAGCTGACAATGATGGTTGTTTTGGTACACGACGAAGCATATGAGTTCTGGCTCCATCACATGCATGTCTCATGTCTTCCATCGATGGTGTGCCCAATAATTCAGTTATGAGTTCCAACTGTTATTAAATGTGTTAGTTTCTTTGCAAAATAATCAATTTAATATTTATTTTACCTGCTGTACAGGACTTTGAGCTTGAAACAAAATTCTTCGTCCTAAAAGTTCTCCAAAAATACACCCAACCGACCATACATCAACAGCCGCTGAATAATGTCGTGCTCCCATTAAGATTTCCGGTGCACGATAATATTGAGTCACGACTTCTTGAGTCATATGTTTTGATTGGTCAGGTTCTTCAACACGAGCTAGTCCAAAGTCACATATCTTTAGAACACAATTACTGTTGACCAAGAGATTCCCCGGTTTAATGTCACGGTGTAAAATTCTTGCTGAATGCAAATATTTAAGTCCACGTAGAATTTGATAAAGAAATACTTTAATGTGATCAGCAGAAAGATGTTGTGGGGATACAATAATTTTGTGGAGATCAGACTGAAGCAATTCTGTTATCACATATCTGAGAAAAAATATTTTTTGTTTAAGTAAAATTAATTAAGTGAACAACGTTTGGAGTTATTTTTATAACAAACTCACATTTCTTGAAAAAAATCTAAGTGTGGAGGTTGTAAAATATCTAAAGCTGAAAGGACCTATATGAAGAAAAGAAGAAGCGTTAATTACATTTTTATTTTCTTCGCAGTAGATATATTAATATTTTTTTTTTTACGAAACACATCTCATAAACAAATATATCTTGAAAAAAGAAAGAGAATAATGGAGAAGATGCTGTAATGATGTAGACATATCACACTCACGTTTTCATGCTTGAAGAAACATAACATTTTCAATTCTCGATACACTCTCTTTGAAGATACCAATGATTGAAAAACATTGGGAAGCTTCTTTAAAGCTACCCGACGTCCATCACGGGGATCTGTGACTGCCCTATAAAAGCAACAATATTAAGAGACATTGAAAAAGAAATTAAGTAAATATTAAAGTTTATTGATACAGATGAAGTACACGAATCTGTTGTGGATCAAGGAATGTTTTTATGTGCACCAAGTAAAGATTCAACGAAAAAAAATGAAGAAGAAAAAGAGAATTAAGATATTTAATCTTTGTTTGCTCTTTGTTGGATGGAATATTTATAGGAATAAGATCATAAAACAAAAATAGCTTTGACATATGTATTAAAATATATATAAATATACAGAGTAATAAACAATTAGAGTTATTAAATTGAACATATTGAAATGATTTTTAATTAGGAATTTATGTTATTTCCGTCTTCTATTCTTAAGAATACAGCGCCATCTCGCGATGGTTTATTGTTCTCCGGTAGTGTCTGAGGTTATTAACATTTCAGGTATTTTTGTTTAATCTCAGAAATTTATATAAAAATAGAAGGAATTTCCCATTACTCTTATGTATATGATAAAAGATTATTTTTAAACGTAATTTTCCAGCTAACAATAGATTAATTATAAAATTAATTAAATAACTTACCAAACAACACCAAACGCTCCATATCCGATAGGTCGATCAGGTTGAACATCCTGTGGGATATTTGGAGCTTGATAGAAAGGAGCAGCAGCAGCTGTAATAAATAAAAGTCATTGTCTTAGGGTAATCGACCTAATATTTATTGCTTTTGTCATACTTAGGACAGTACCAGCAGTTGAAGCACCGGCGGCACCTCCTTGAACAAGTGACATAGAGACACTCATAGAGACCCGAGATTGTCTAGTTGGGCCTACTGCTGCCATCAGAATATTTCCATAACCAAATAACCCCAGCTTTAATTCTTCTTATTCACTTCAAATTATAAAACTTTTATTGTTCCTCTTTTCTTTTCAAAGTTTTCTTTCTTTTGTTTCAATTAATCAATTTTATATATTTCTTCGAAGAACTAACGTTAATTTTATGTGAAAGTGAGCTTCTTATTCTCTCCAGTTCTGCTTTATTTAAATTATAAATTAAAATTAAATGTTTAAGCTTTCAACAATAGTAATTTCACTTTATTCGGACACAAACTAACACTCTCATATATCATACGCACACTACTATGACTCAACTCGATTGAAGGCTCTTTATTAAATTTCACGTTTTTCTTTGTCAAACATTGAAAAATATCAATATTTTTGCACAAATATTATTTTAAAAGAGTTTATTCTGACGATTTTAGAGATCAGATACTTTCATTTAATTCACTTTTCACTTCCATTTAGCTAATTTCTCCAAAAAAATTCAAGTTCTCCAGCTTGGAAAAAAATTAGCTTCCGGTTAGATTTCAGGATAAATCAAATGAAAGAACTTTTAAGATATTTAAAATTACAGAAGTACATAATTTCGAAGGTGAAAAGATGAAAAAGAATTGAAATTAGAGCTTTATGAAGAAATAATGCGTCCTACTGTTTTATTATCAAGCCATCTTGTAGACAAAAACTATGTGTGTGGAATTTTAGATCCTCCTATGAACTTCACTTATTTTTTGAAACACTTTTACTTATTTTTTTAGGAATAGAACGTTTTTGAAATTGTATAGTTTAAGTAAATTTTTAACAACACTTAGCTTCTGCTTTCCACAGATGACCAAAAATAATGAAAGCTCGAGTTAGTGAGCAGATTCAGCAAAGTAAAATCTGTTGAAAAACTACCGAATGAAAGAAATTATCTGAATTTTCATCTGGAGATATTTTAGTAATTAAATTATAAGTATTGAAATTAATAAATTGGAAGAAGAGGAAGTTTGAGTTACTCAAAACACTTTCAAAACGTTAATTTTGGGAATAAAGTTAGATTTTACATAATTACACTATACGTATAAGCGCTGAATTAATCCTGTGCACAAGTGCACGGAGTTTCTCACATGATTTTGTGACAAGGCATCAAAACAAATAAGCCCCACTGAACTTTCCTTCACTTAACATTAGCATTTGATCTTTATTTCGCAAATCAAACCACTTTTCTCCAACAACATGAGCAACATTCATTTGGGAAAAGGTATTTATATTGATTTAAATCTGACAAACGTCATTTCTTAAATGTCGCGATGATCTAATCGATAAAATATTTCTCGCCGGTTGATATAAAAAAAGAAGTTGAAAAAAAGCAATAAAATTTATAATTCTGCTGATTTAGGTTCACAACCACCAACTTTTCCAGAAGATGGAAAACTGCGTTTATACTCAATGAGATTCTGTCCATTTGCGCAAAGAGTTCACCTTGTTTTGGAAGCTAAAAATATTCCTTACCATACTGCTTACATCAACTTAAAGCAGAAACCTGAGTGGTACACCCAAAAATCTCCTTTAGGAAAGGTTCCAGCACTTGAAATTCCAACAAGCAAAGACGATCCTTTAATTGAATCTTTGATAATTGCTGACTACTTAGATGATCAATATCCACAAAATCGTCTAAACTCGACTGATCCACTACAGCGGGCTCGAGATAGAATTTTAATTGAGAGATTCAATGGTTTTATTACACCTTATTATAAATTAATGTTCTCTCAAACTGGAGTTGATGGGTAAGTTTATAAAAAATAAAGAATTGCAATGTAATAAGTTTGAAATGATTCCATCTGAATTGAAGCGCTCCAGGTGCTATTACTGACGCAATCAATGCATTAGATGTCTTTGAAGCTGAGCTTAAAAAGCGTGGTTCTAAATTCTTCAACGGTTCCAAGCCTGGATTTGTAGATTACATGGTAAGAAAACAAAATAAATTATAAAGAAAATTATTGATTGCCTCTTCTTATTCATTAATTAATTAGATATGGCCGTGGTGTGAACGAACTGACGCATTCGCATTTTTGTTGGGAGATAAATATGAATTAGATAAAGTTCGATTCAGCAAACTTATTGAATGGAAGGATTTAATGAAGGAAGACAATGCTATTAAATCTCTTCTCATTTCTGGTGAAGATCATTACAAATTTCGTAGATCAACATTTAGAGCTGAAGGTCCCGATTACGACTTTCTTCCGTAATTTTGAAAATTATTAAATTTCATATCATTAAAATTATTGAATTGTTTTTTTTTAGTATTCCAGCTAAGAGAATTCGCACTAACTAATCGAGTGATGATGATAAGAGATTGCATCTAAAAGAACTCCCTTAAATTAAACTATAATCGTTTGTTTAACACAAGGCTTGGTACTTGAAAGTTTTAAATATTTTATTTTTTTATATACCTAATACAAAAATTAACTTTTCAAATCAAATTTAACATCTGCACGGTTGGTACATTGATTGATATGAACAAGATTTATTTGCTTATAAATGTGAGACGAGAATTAAACTTTCTTAATTGTTTTCAACATTTTTAAATGCAAATTGAATGTATCAATATAATCTTTCTGGAAAAACAAAAAAATTGGTTCTTTCTAAGTATCTATTTACAGATTGCAAAAATTTGCACAAAGAAGAATTTCCTGGAATAAAATTATTAAAAATATTTTTATTTTTTTTTCTTGAAACGCACATTCACAAAAATAATCTTTATTATTTATAGACTCTATTTGCTACTTATCATTCAAGTAAATATTCTGAAATTTTTAGATAAAAGTAAAGTTCACACTTAGCTTAAAAAAAAATCCTTTAGATTCGTTTGATGGAAAGGAAGAAAATTCGATGGCAATTCTACTTTATGGAGGGAATGATGTAAAAATAAGAATGAAATTGATAGATAAAAGATGTTCAAGTAAATGACATCGTAAGACCATAAAATGTTAAGAGATTATTAAAAGTTTACACGTGTTCAATCCACACTATCACTGTCATGACTTTCATTCGATGAAACTTGATTGTGACATGATCGCATATGTCGAAGGAGATTTGACTTCACATTAAATTCTTTCTTACAGTTAAACTGTGAACAAACAAATGATTTTCCAACTAAAAATAAATCGTGAATTTAATAATTCATCATTTACTTCTTAATACGAACCGTGATGTGTTCTTTTATGTATCAGCATGCTTGCATATGATGGAAGAACTTTATCGCAAACATTACACATTTTTTCTACCGAGACATCTTTCGATTGTCCTACGTTACTTCTAAAATGTAAAATTTTAGATTGCAACTAGACATTTTTGTAAAAAGTTTTTAGTTACGTTTTTGTCAAGATGCTATTATTCGACAGTGCAAGTTCAGTTTCTGTGTGAGTATTTTGAACGTGTCGTACCCAATCTGCAGGTGTTGCAAGATGAATATCTTCACATAAATCGCATGATAGAATATTAATGTTCTCGGTATTCTCTTCTTGCTAAATTATTGAAATAATTAAATAAATTTCAATCATAAATCCTTTTTTACTCTTCAATCATACCTCGTTTGGTCGTTTTCGCTTTTTAGGAATGTTTGACTGTGCTGCTGTTTCATAATGTGTCTCAATATGTCTCACCCATTCAGCGGGTACTTGAAATTTCATATTACATTCTTCACAAACCAACGGTGAGTAGACTTTCGTATTTCCAACTTCAGATTGAAGAGAATCCTCTAAAGAATCTAAAGCCTCTGGTTTGATTGCGTTAGTGAAGTCAGAAAAGTTTTCAGCAATTTTTTCTGTTGCTTCGTTTTGATTTTCACACCATTCTGGTTCTTTTTTTATCAAATGGAAGCTTGATCCTTCGGTGAACTGTTGATTTATATCTTTCTCTAATGTAGGACTTATATAACATTGATTATTTTCTTGGAAAGATATTTTGTTATTCTTAGCAATCTCAAGCAGACACGTCACAGATTGCTTTTGATTCTCCACTGATAACTTTCTTTGTTCATTGTAGGGCGAAATATCACTCATGTGAAATGATTCCTTGGAACGTTCTGAAGTCGAATAGGTTTGAAAAGGAGATGAAGCTGACACTGAATCTTTTGAACATGATCTTGTAGCAGCATTGCTTGGAGATGTTTTCACGTTTTCTAAGCACTGTTGCTGTTGGGCTTTTTTAACTGCTGCTGCTATTTTCAATGATATCAAACCGTAATGTTCGATAGGAATGTTAGTTTCACCGGGATCAATAGCCATATCTTTCTTCAATATAATTGTTGTTGAAGATGGTGACTGTTGTGGATTTGTTTCACTAGATGATTGCTGTTGTTGTGGAAAAAGTTGAGATGGATGTGTTTGTGGAGTCATCACAACAAAAGGAAAATCATGTTGGGAATTCTTTGTTGATGAACTTCTTGAATTTGCACCCACAGATGTACTTTTGGTACACTCTGCAGAGTTACGAGAAGTATGTTCAACATTTTTCAGCGGTAATTCATTGACTTCATTACTGATTTTAAGGGAATGACATTGGGAATTTGGAGTGGCATCATTGATTAATTTCGTATTTCTTTGCATTTCATTATTGTTTCCTGGTGGAACTTTACACAATCCACGTATCTTTAATATTTCTCCACCTCTAAGTACTTCGTTTAAAATTTCATTCGCAACAGTTGCTAAATAAATTTTATTCAAAAATAAATTAAAGAAACCTTCTTAAATATTAATTAAAACTTACTTTCTCCAGTGTACTGTAATATAAAAAATGAAGATACATTAAAGAAATGGTTGTAAAACCTAAATAAAAGAATATGTTACCATGTATTGGACTAAAGTAGTGACAGCTTTACGACTCAATTCAGATGGTAAGACAACATAAAGCATACCGTTGATAGGTAGAGGATTATTATCAAAAATGTATGAAAAATACTAAATTTGGAAATGTTATACTTGGTCAATCATCTATAAGATTAATGTAACTCACATGAGAACATGTTCCTAGAATAAGTTTATGTGCTGGAATACCGTAGAAACCTTCATCAGAGTTACAAGTGAACAACATAACGTCAGCATATTTATCGTTCTTAAACAAATTAGAAATGCTTGAATTGAGATTATTCACATGTGAATTCCATTTAAGTTGGTAATTTTCAGCAGCTAATGGTGTAGCATTTGATGAAATTATTCCACTCTGAGACATGATGATTTTTTAAAGAATAAGCAATATTCTAACAGGTTAAACACTTCAATGAAGCATATATTTATGTTTACAAATAAACTTCCTTCTCACTTTATTATTTTATTTAAACTTGCTCTTTAAAAGATTAAAAATATGTTTTAATAATTGTCTCCTTATTTTTTAGATTCCCTTATAATGATGCAGTTAAGAATAAAAATCCACAGTTAAGTAGACGACAGAAAAAATCGATATCGAGGGAGCAGACTATCGATTTTTCATTCCAATGAATTTACTTTCTATTTTCTTTTCATCTCCCGCCTTATTTTTTTAAGTTTTAAACATTTCTGAATGAGTCGAGATTTTATATTTTTCTTCAACTATGACTCGTTATATGTTGCTTTATTTCATCAGATTATTTCAATGAATAGCTTTTATTAAGTAATTAATATTATAAATATTTAGCTTTCCAGAACACTGCGCGTCTCGGGACTGAATGAAAAATCAAACAAAATTTTTTCATACTGTTTGTGAGAGGAACACAAAGAGCGTTTCTCTTTCTCTTTCCTTCGAGAAAGCATGTTTGCTTGATGAAATATCGAGATATCTACACATCAAGGAATTATCGATTTTAGATTTATTCCTTTCTGAAAATCTTTAAGCAAAAATAAGCAATTTTTATGGCATGAAGTTTTATTTAAAAACTTTATAAAAAAAATTACAAAACGTTTTAAATTCTAATTTTTAAATGAAAATCTTTGTTGATTATTTATGATCATAAAGAAAGAATTATTCTGTTTTTTGGCTTGTTGCTTCATTTGCTAATCTAGTTTCACGGCGCATTTTTTTAACTACGCCAACAAGAAGAATTAAATGGCAAGCATGTAAAAGGAGACTTGAAAAAATTGTCGATGGATATTGATTCCAGCAAAATTCTATTAAAAATAATATGAGAATCTTAAAGCTTTTAGGAAAGTCAGTGAACCATGACAAATAAGGCAATGAATGGAAATACCAAACATAAAATTGATAATGAAGACTTCTTGAGCAAATAACTCCAATAAAATTTATAAGGAAAATTGGTAGAATGGCAAGTTGAACTGCCTGATCGAAATGAATTTCAATCTTCTTGGGTTCGTCTTCTTCTTTTGTTTCAGCTTCTCCAAAACGACTTTTTAATCCTTTCTCAAATGATTCAATAAAATGTTTTTGTTCGTCAGTAAGTTCTGATTCAGTCTCAGATTGCTTAGTCTTTGCTCGTTTCATTTTCTTCTTAAGATTATTTTCGATTTCACGATTTTCTGCTTCAATTTGTGGTTGAAATTGTGCTTGAAGTGATCTCAGTCTTGCATAGTTTTTGAAAAATATATAACATGGTTTAGCAACATAAGCAAGAAGAAATAAATGAAGAATTAGTAAAGTCAAATGAAATCGAAAATCTTCAAATATTTCGATTCCAAGAAAACGATAATTAACTGTCCATTTATGTTCAAATACTCGGCCTAAATCAAATGATCCTTTGATATAAGCATAAGGATAAGTCAAGAGAAAAGGAGCTCCTATAATTAACTGAACCATTCCACATATTATTAGTTGTATCAATGTTTTCATATATCCTAAGCTTGTAAGATATAACATCAGCATGGCTGGTGCAAAAAGAAGAATATTCATTTTAACACCAACACCTAAACTAAATAAAATGCTGCCAAGTGTCCATCGTCGATCCATAAAAAGATTTAATGATGCGTAAAGAAGAATAATAGCAACAGGATCATTAAATAAGCGTAGTGAGTAGATTGAATGAATCCTATAAGATGTGAAGACACTGAGAACTATCACATAAGGTGGAATCTTCCGTGTTTTTGAATAAAGTCGTAAAACCAAGTAGAGTTGAATGAGATAAATTAATACAAAAATGTATTGTGCCAGGAGAATGTTCTTTCCTCTCGATGTTATAAAATAGAGAATCGAGTAGATGTAAATGAACCCAGCGGGATAAACTAGCGGACCAGTGTCTCCTAAAAATAGATTTTTTCTCCTTTTTATGCAATCTTTGACAGATTTTAAACTTTTACCTTTAAGTTGTGAATAATCTGTTGTTCCATTTAAAAATCCTTCGCATTCTTGCATATATGCATTCCAATCAATCTCAGTGTACTTAATTCTTATCACGATGAATATGTTGAGAGCCAGCTCAGCAAGCATGATTAAAATTGAAACTAGTGGCAATCTTATTGGATCGAAAATCAGCGATTTTACAAAGTCAATCGTGAAATATTTTGAGAAAATCTTATCCTCAGAACTTTTCAAAAGCTTTTGTTGCTTTACTTTTGGAGGAGCCATTTCAAATAAAATAAAAATGACTAAAACCGAGTAAATCACAATGAACAATTATTCAAACAAAAATTTTCGCCGCAAGGGGTGTACAACTATGGGAATTGCACTAACATTTCCTCATTTTCGTACACGAGCGTTCAATGCACAAGCGTTTATTATAATAAATTGCGCAAAGTAGTGTGTGACAAAATTGTTTTTTGAAAAATTCAACATATAAGAATAAATAAAGTAAAACAGCTCGTTTCTTACATATATTTCACATCATTGATTATGGGAAAATCAATAATTTTAGGTTTAATTAAGGAATTCATTGCAAATCCTGGGTTGCAAAGATTTTTTTTCGGTCATTCCATGGTAACAATAATCATTAATAATCATTGAAAGGGTTTCAGCTGAGGGAACACAAACACAACCCTGATGCAAACAGATGATTAAGATTTTACAATAGTGTGAGTGAATTCTCATTGTCAAGAAAGAAAGAAAAAATATTTTCATTTAGTGCTAAGTTTTCAAGCAAGAAGCAGTTCAGAAAATAAGAGCTCGAGAGCAATTTGTTTTAAATTTAAAATGGATATTTCTGAAGGCTAAATTAAAGAAATACAACATATATTGAGAAGTTTTAATATATTCCGTGGATGCCCTGATTTGTGAAAGTGTTTGTGGGCAAGAAAAAGAAGCAAAAAAATTAAAAATATAAAATATTTGATTTTTTTAAAATTCAAATTTGAATTAATTAATATTCTTCTCATGACAAGAGAATTTAAAACGTTCTCATAAAAATAGACAGTTTAATTTTAAGACGAAAACAAGTGAATCTTGTGATTTTGTGTTACTCTTTTTATATTTGCTATTCAAAATCCAAGTAAGTTGAAAAGAAAATTTTATTTTGTTTAAAGAAATGAAATTTCTGATGCAATTTCTGACTTTCATTGCATTTAGTTCCATGTCAATAATTAAATATCGTACAAGTCGTTTACACTATGAAGTGTATTAAACCAGAAAAGAAAAACGAAAACCTATATTAAGTCAAGCAAACGAACAGCAGAATATCCAAATACTTGCGAATAAAGAAGACTACAGAAAAATATCTTGAGTCAAAAATTTTGTTTTCGCTTTTCTTTCCCGAAATAAAAAGAAGCTCACACGCGAAAATGAAAACAAAAATCATCACCGATTAAACATTGGTTGTTGTCAAGCAGACGTTGATGTGTGTGCTCAAAATTGTTTGGGCTATATACTTACATGTAAGCGTCAAAGAAAGATTTTCTGAGGTGGTTTATCAACTTAAAGTAACACAATATAATTAAATGAGCCTCATATTATTATTTTTCTGTCCTTGAGATGTTGATGATTCTTTGGTGTTATAATTGTGAGCTGTAAATCTGTTTGTAAATATCTTTCCGGTTTTGCTTTATATTCTTTTCCCGGTTAAATTCAGATTAAAAATTGTAAACAAAATTCTAACATTATTGAAGTTGAAAATTTAAAGAAAAGTTTTTATTACTGTAAAAATATAAAAAGAAAAACCATTAAATAATAATCGCAAGAAAAGAAATCCCAGATGATCAATGCTTTTACAGCCAGAAGCCGTACTTAGCTAAATAGACTTTGTGTCTCGTTTAAATTTACTTTTAAGCAGTGTAGGTGATAACGCTAAAATAAAAACTTGAAACTTATCATACAAACACTCAAGAACCCTTCACGTCTTGATTTTAATTCTTTAACATTTCGTTTTTCGATTCTTTAAATACTATTAAAAGTTTTCTTTCTTTCAATTATGATGATTACGAAACAGAACTCCTAGTTGTTTGTGTTATCAGTTTACGATGTGTCTCAAGGTTCTTTGCGATTCGAAAATATTTATATTTCGCTTTCTTCTTCTTATGCTGCGATTACTCTCACACAAAAAGAATAAGCGAAATATTCATCCAGACGAAATGAATTGAAAAAGTAAAAAAGAAAAAATTGCACACCAAGCTTTAAAGAGTTATCGGAGAGAAGGCCATTAGACGTTTTGTGATTAAAAGTTTGTTTTTCAAACTCTCGTTTATTTGAACAATCTGTTTTTATTCTACTTAAAACGCACTCTGATAAGCTTCTTTTCATTTTCGACCCAAATTAAATAGCGAGTTTGAATTTCCTTTCTTCTAAGCGTTTTTTGTTTGATTATTTCTTTTTCATTTACAGATTTTTTCTTCATTAAACATTTTGTCATTCATACATACAACTTTTTAGACATGGAAGCTATGGAATTGGATTCAATGGTTGAATGCTATACAGATCCTGAAATGGAGCAAATGCAGCATGATGTGAGTCATAACTTATTTCTCTTCTCTAGTTTATTTAAGATACAAAGAAAAATACAATAAAATTTTAATGATTAGATATTCTTTCTGCAAAATATAATGAAAACAATTTTTTTGTGATTGTTTATTGCTCTATTGCAAGGCAGACAGCCAACAGAGATAAAGGGTAAAACTCAGACAATAACTTTTATGCGGCTTGCTGTCAAAAAGAAAACAAAACGATTCTTTATCAGTTCAAAGCAATGAAAGATTAACGAGGTTGATGCTTCTCAGGGTGTGAAGCCGATTGACTGTTCACATAATACTATTAAGTGAACCGTCACATTCTTAATTTAGATTCACTTAATTTTCCCTTTTTCTATCTCATTTTTATTTCTATGTAAAAGAAATCTAAATGCATAACACGATGAGCAGTATATGCGGTCATTTATTCAAAGAATCTTCATTTCTAAACTTTGTAAGTGAATGTTAAGAAAATTGATGAGACATATCAAGGTGTTCAAGCTTAAAGTAGATTTTTTTGATATTAATCACTTCATTTGATCATTCCTTCATGCCATAAACATGATCTGGTGTCACAAAAATACGTCAACAACAGCCAGTTTGGGAGAAAATTTAAAACGAAGCGATAACAAAAAATTAAGCGAAAGAAATGTTTTTTATGACTTTGTTTTCGACGAACGATCATTTCTTGGTTCCTCTTTCTCACTCTTTTTCCTTCTGCAATATTCGTGTGTGTGTGCTTTTTTATTAATTTAAGTTTGACGATAATAAAAAGAACATTTAAGACAATTAAGAAAACCGCATTGGGAGAGTACTGGAAAGTTTTTAGAACGGTTAAAGTCATTTTAATGTATTAAGAAGTGCAAAGTGTAAATTCAATTAATCAACATGAAGTCATAGCAAAATAAATGTTTAATAAATATCAAAATAAAAGAACAATTTCATCGAAAAACAAGTCAAAAACAACAATCGTTGGACCAATTTTTTTTTGTAAAAATAATCTCAAATTAAAAGGAACTCAAATGTAAACATTTAAATATATTTATACGTGAATGTTGAAATTTCCTCGAGAGAAGATTGTGAAAGTAGTATGTATGTAAAAAGCGACTGTTTCACACACGTTTTGTGCTTTTAGAGGCATCATGTAGGTAATGTGGCCATTGAACTCTCGATGCACGTTTAGACGATGTAATATTAACTCGGCTGAACTTTTTTTTATATTTGCAGTCAGATTTTGAATGTAAATCGTTAGTTTTATCTGATCCAAAAAAGCCGCCTTTATTGTTTGTTTTCCCTTTGATTTGTTTGAAACTTGCATACGTGATTTCTGTGGTTCCATATCTAGATAAGTGGTGAAATATTCGATAAAAAATGTATTTAATTACATTCTTTGTTGGTTTCTAGTGACTGTGACAAAGAAAAAGAAAAGAAAGAAGAGTTGTTTACAGAAAAAAAGAAAGAATCACACCGTGAGTCATCTTTCTGTCAAGTACATTGAGTGAAACAAAGCAATAAGAAATTGTCACCAAGGGTGAAAATATTTCTGCACTTTACAAGTTATTTCCATTTAACCTTTGATAAAGATAAAATGTATTCATTTAACAACAGTCAATTATGATAGTAAATTTGTTTTATCGAGGGAAGGAAAAATCACGGCATTGAAATTAGATTTGTCACGTAAATTAATAAACTGCAACTATTTTATAATGAACAACCATAACTTTGTTAATTCGAAACAAAAAACTTTCTTTCAACGATATTCTCTGAATATTTGATTACTTCTTAACTACACTTTAAAGAGAAGTTTTGTAAATAACCAACTCGATTCTCATTGATTTTTCATTGTGCATAATTCAACATCGCATAAATCTTTTAATGCCAAACTCGAGAAACTTTGTCAAATGTGACGTCGAATTAAAAAGAAATTAAACAACGCAGTTTAGGAAGCACTGTCTTTAGTTTCCTAAACAAATATTTAACTAGAAAAACACTAGTGAGATCTATTTTTGACTTCTTTCAAGAGATTTATGCTTGTGTAACTGAAAACCGTGAAAACAAGTTAAATTAAACTAGTTTACAGAATATTTGAATGTGAAATTATTGCAGGTGATTAAGAAAGTAATTATTTCGTACGTTGGATAGATAGATAATTGCATAAATAAAAGATAAATTGTCCGAATTTTGAAATTTAATTTCCTTCCCGGTTCATGTTGTTGATTTTCTTTCATGATAAAGCAAATTAAGTACTTTGACCGATGTACACAAAGATAAATTTAAATGAAAAAATGACAAAAACTAAACAAGTTATCTATTTAAATTGGAATTAGTGAAAAAAATTTATAAAGCTACTCCAGACAATCAAAATGACTCGAGGTCAATGTTTTTATCATGAATTTAGAGTCTAAAAAAAGAATTACCAATCGCTTGTCTCTTCAATCAACTTTAATCAAAATGTTTACTTTTTTCCCTCTTATTGCGTTAGTCTCAATTGTTTGTGGAGATAATTTATCAGTGAACGTGGGCCTATCGTTAACGTTATCTTTTCGGCAACATACATAAAGTTTTTTTTAGAAAAGCTAAGTAGGTCAATTTGAGTTGAAATTCATGTCGAATATCTAGAATTAATTTATGACCATAGAGTAACATTCCACTATCTAAGAACAGTATTCGGAATTTAATATATTTTATGTACCCGTCCTCGTGTTTATTTTCTCAGATCTAGGCAAATTGTGGCCGCCCACACATTTGAGAGATCTGAGAGGAGAAAGATAGAAAGAAATAACAAAATTATTAAGCAGGTTCAATGCTTCATACATACACTTTTAGAAAAATTTATTTGAAATAATAAATAAACAGAAGCGTCATAGACACGCCGAATGTTCTTTCATGCATTCGCCGAATGATATGTCATGTCAAGCTAAGAGTCCATCTATCGTGTGAAAATAAACACAATTTTCGATGCAAATTTTATAAAGCTTGTAGAAGCGAAGCAGATTTTAATTTAGATATCTCCACCGAGTCAACCTCAAAAAAAAATAAAGAATAACAAAAATTATCGTCAAAAACAATCTAATATGGAAAATTACTAAGCAACAGACAAATTTCCATTTTTATTTGTTTTCTCTCAAAGTGTTTGATCATTCGATACACACACTTTACTTCGGATATATGTGACTGTGAAACGATGAAACTCGTTTACCTACAAAACATTTCAGATTGAATGGAATATGGAATTAGCGATTGTATGGAATTGTGCTTTGTGAATGTAATGGCTGATGACATTGATCATAATTTTACTTATTTATAAAGCGAATGACATATTATAAATTATAATACAATTTAAGTCTTCACCTATAGATGACAATCTGACAAAATAAAGTTGACGACAACTTTACAACAGCTTATTGCGGTTATAAAATTTGGACACAGTTTGTCTTGTCCTATTTCATGTAGATAGATTGAAGATAAAAGAAACATTTATATTCATTTTCGTTTCGAGACAAAGAGAATTTTATAATATAAACAAAGGAACATTCAGTCTTCATTTACATGAACTTATTTTTGTTTTTTTCTGTTTTCACTTTTTAATTATAGTACGACTACAAAGAATTTTTCATTGATGGCAATATAGATGCTTATGATCATGTTACTAAAGTCATTCGATACCATCCGAAATATTTCGAGCATTACATCAAAACCCACCGGTACCTGATGTATGACGATGGCCCCCTTCCTTTTCCTACACGTCATTACTTGGCGATAATTGCTGCAGCACGCAATAAATGCAATTATTTGGTGAATTTACACGAGAAAGATTTCATTGCTGAAGGCGGTGACATCACATGGCTAAAAGGATTGGAATTTATTCCACAAAAGTTATGTGCTATTTATGACATCAACAAGATATTAGCACATCGTCCATGGCTTTTGACCAAAGAACATATTGAAGGTTTAACAAAAGGAAGCAATAGTTGGTCACTTGCTGAAGTTGTGCACGCTATCGTCATCCTAGCTCATTTTCATTCGCTTTCATCATTCGTTTTCTCATGTGGTCTCAATCAAGAATTGGATGCTAGTCTCAAAAATGGATCGTCGGTCGAATCTGAAACACCGCTTGGCACCGATGACCTTGAAACGGAATCGGATATAAAGCCAAGTACAACACCACCATTCATTCAACGTCTCAAAATGGAACAACAACGTATTCATCATCAACATCATCAAAAGATGAAAGAGCAAGAAGAGAATAGAAAAATCTTGCAAATGAAGAATAGCAATGTTGCTTCTTGTAATGCTAGTAATGCAGCGGCTAGTGACAATATAGATATGCTGATGAAAAGGATGCAGGATCTGTCGGAAAAGAAGAAGGAATGTAGCGAAGCTGAGCTTAACAATCGATTTAAGAATGTTGAACTTCAAGTAACATTTTTCTTATTCAGATCATTCTCATTTATTTATTTAATATCTTTAATAGGCAGCACAACTCGCCACATCATCAAGTCAATCAATAATCAATGATGTTCCTCCGTCCATCAGTCATTACGTTGACGACCCTAACTATACATATCAGGATTTCGCTCGTCGTGGTGCTGAAAATATTCCTCATACCTTTCGCATTCAAGATTACTCCTGGGATGATCATGGTTACTCATTAGTCAATCGACTTTATAACGATGTTGGCTTTTTGTTAGATGACAAGTTTAGAGTTGCTTATAATTTGACATATAAAACCCTTGCTGGACGTCAGAATGTCGACACATCAAAGTTTCGTCGTGCCATATGGAACTACATTCAATGCATCTACGGTATGAGTTTCTCTTAGCTTCTTTTTCTTCACCTTCATTTTTATATTGAATTCTTATCTTCGATAGGTATTCGTCATGATGATTACGATTACGGTGAAGTTAATAAACTTCTTGATCGACCTCTGAAAACATTTATCAAAACCGCTTGTTGCTATCCAGATCGTATAACAAAGCAAGATTACGACAGCATTCTCGTCGAATTACTCGATAGTGAAAAGGTTCACGTCAATTTGATGATCTTGGAAGCGAAGAATCAAGCCATTTTGCTTTACGCTTTACGCGAACTTAACAGATAATGCCAAAATCACCAAAATGTACAACAAAACAAACAACAAAATGAAGATGAAGTGGAAAAACTATGTAACGATATAAAAATATTTTATTTACTGCAAAAGAAACATCAAAATTAAAAATAAAAAAATTATGGTTCAGGATGGAAAATGATGTAAGAAATATTTTCCATCCATCATGTGATAATCAAATTTCTAATGAATATACAAACAAAATATAAGTTTTTAACCCTTCCAAGCATAAAAATAATGTTCAATGGCTGATGAATGAGTAGAATTGTAGTTCTGCTTATCTCAGTTTTCTTTATTTAGAGTCTTTATCTCTTATTATATTTAATATTATTATAATTATTATTTTCTTTTGGTCTCCTTAAGTCATTTTTGTTGATGAATGTTAAGAAGAAAATTTATTTGTTATTGAAGTTCTTCTATTATGAAATTTTATGAAATTACAATTTGACTTTCCATTTGAAATAAAATAATAAAAAACAAGAAAACACAAATTATATTCACTCAAATTTCGCTTGAGCTACGTAATTTTTAATGCTTTTCTGTCGAATAATTTTTATAAAAATGAAATTACAATAAAGGATAAAGTTAAAAAGAAAAAAAAAACATCAAGAAAACTCAAACGACAAATCTTTTTTCTTTTATCTTTTGTAAATAATGAAAAAATTTCAAATATTGATTTCAGATTATTGTTTATTCAGTTCTTCTAACAACACAATTGTGCATCAAGACGAGCAGATAATTTTATTTTTCATTGTTTAAAATGATTTTTATTCATTCGACTTGAGAGCAGATATTTGATCAAGATACTTGCATTTACATTTGAATTTTTCTCATATTTATCTATCACTACAATATATGCAAAGATAAACGAGTGGAATAATTTGATGCTTATACTTAAATAGTAAATATTTTGCAGAACACTGACCTTACTCAAACCATACAAAGAATTTTATTTTGTGATATAAAACTACGACTAACAACTGACAATTTAATTTCAACGTTTTGTTGTTGCGCGCAGACGCTCTTATAATATCATCGATTTCCCCTACAAGGAAAAACTGGCGTGCCTATTGTCAGTAATAAAAGTATTGCGTAGCATTGTTGTAATATCCATTGAGAATTAGAATTCTATTTTTCTCAAACATTTCTTTCTCGAAAATAAATAATAAACAAACTGCGCATTTTCTTCTTCTTTTTCGCATTTGATTTGTATGAGATACTTACTTAATATGTATTAAGAAATTAAGATTCCCGGAATAATTTCAAGCATAATTTGACATTAAATTATCAATAAAGATAAGATTTAAGACATGTCGTGCTTATGATTTCACTTCTGTTATTAGGCTCTGAATGATATCATTGCAATGAATGAAAACAAATTTCCAAACATTTCCATTTGAATTTGGAATTATAATTCTCAACATTAGGTCAGCAACATTAGCGCGTGTTGTTTGTCTGTATTTGTTTTTAAATAAAGTCTCTCCATGTTATGTGGGCACCAATATATTTGATAAAACAATAATAGCTTAAAAACGTAAACAACTTGCTACTGACGAAAACATTTTTTAGCTTCAAGAGAGCCAATTCGAAAAAAATAAATAAAATTGCAACGTTTTAAGTCATCAAAATTTTCCATTAGCTTTACTTAGAGTTTCCTTTTTGAAATTTGATTAAATACAATTGAAAAAGACTCTCATGACATTTTTAGCAAAGTAATGTGCCGGAACTAATTAAGAAGATACAATTTATTTATCCAAGTGTTACATATTATTTTTTTTTTGGAAAAATAAACAAGATTAAGAATTGTCATATTTACTGAACTATGGAACCTTTCAAGATTAAAGTAATGAACAGTTAATATGATAATGGTTTTTATTTGTCATTGAAAGTTTGAGGAAAGTATTGAATGCTTCAATTGCAACAGTAAATATATTTACCGCCTAGGAAAAAATATTTGACATAAAATTGTTAGCGATAACGTAATTGAACATAAATTAAGATAACGTTTTTCGAAAGATAATTTTTTCTGAACTTTTACTAAATATTTCAAGAAACATAATTAAATAAAGTACATATTAATAACTGTTTAGTTTAATTAAATACCTGCCTACTTTCAATAAATGAACATAAATTAAAATTCTTAATGTTCATGTAAATGAAAGTTAATCCCAGATAAATACGAAAATTGTGAAGCTTTTTGCAACTTTATTTATCGTTAATTGCAATAAATAAGTCATGAATTTTCTAACGTTGCTGATAATCATTGCTGATGTCTGGGTCTTTTGGAATAGATAAGCAACAATATTGTTTAAAAATGATTGAAAAATGGCAAGAAGAAAGATGAATTTTAACGGAAAAAAATTTAAAATTTATTATTGAAAATATTCGCCTTCAAGTTATGCGTATTGCGGGTTTTGTTTTCAACTTAAACTCATAAAAATTTTGAAAAAACAAACAAATATGAATCAGAATTATTTGCTTATATTGATATATGTTTATTTTTATTGGACGACAGCATTGAGCTTGTTTAATTTGAGATCGCCTGCCCAAAAATTTCTAGTCGATGTGACTTGCAATATTTTCTTTTATTTTATTTATGCTATTTCGATTTTATGTATTTATTTTTTCTTTTTACTTTTGCTTTAGGTTAGAATTAAGTTTGATTTTTGTTTTTTAATTAATTTTAGTGCACATTTTGTAAGGTTTTTATGAATTTTCCTTACTTTATATATCATATCTGTCAAGTCACATCAATTTTATTTTATATTTTCGTCAATGACTGCATTGGTTTAAGATTGTAGGATCAATACCAGTTCATATCATTCCATATTATGTAGAAATCATAATAATTAAGGCAATAAATAGAGATTTTTAAAACTTAAAAAAAACTTGTTTAATTTGTTTATCATGTAGTGTCTCCAAGCTTCCGGTTATGATTGTCATGGTAATGATTTCATCTTGGGGTTACCTTAGGATTAGATCGAAGGGCGACTATTAATTATCTCTGTAACAATAGCTTTTGTTTTCTCTCTTGGATATCTATGCTACATCGCTCTTTATTTATCTTTAAGTGCGAATAATATATTAGAAAATGACGAGAATTTATAACAATTTCGGAATGTGATACTGAGAAATTCATCGATTTCTTTTCAACATATTTAAACGTTTGAAATTTAAAACAATAAATTGTAGGAATTGCATAACACGTTGCATTTCTTTCCATTATTTTACAGGAATTGTTTGAATGTTGTTTAATAATTTTTTAACAGAAAACAACAGTCACAAATGCATTAAACTTCATATTATGTAGTGAATTTCAACAATCTCACAACAATAAACCATATTTGAAATATCTGCAACAGATGAAGTACTTTTCCTAAACGGGAAGTGAACAGAATCCGGTTTTTTCAGCTTTCAATTTGGTAAAGAGTAATGTATGCATTAAGATATCTTCCGTTGCAAGATAATGTTGCAAAATTTGATCAAGTTGAGTTAATTTGACTTATCAAAAGCAACAAAAAATATTCTTGAATAAATTCTTTTTATTAATTTATAAATATCACAGGATTTAAATTTCCTTTAAATGATCTGAATGAAATTACATCTTTTCTTCGTTTTAATTAAATTCGCTTTCTTTCAATCGTAGGGATGAAAATCCAATAAGAAAAAGTTTTCTAGACTAATGCGAATGAGTTCTGCTGACGATTGCGTTGAATCCTAATCAAGTAGTTTTGAAAAGAAATAAAGTTATTTATGATAACAGCGTGAGATTATCTAACAATGAACTCACCATTATGTTTATCTGCTGTATAATCGACAGTTCTGATTGAACCATCAGGTTCTACCAAGGAATATGAGCCTTTCACAACATCGCCGTCTCGAGTTTCATGTTGTGATTTAACATCACCTATGATGATGATTACATAAAGAAAGTCAAATCTATAGAAATTCAAAATGTATTCTGAACACGTATTTACCAGTATGATAATCATTTACTCCGTATTTGAAGGCATATTTAGGATGGGCCTTAAAGAGAATATCCCAAAATAATTGTAAAGCAGATAAAATTAAAAATTCTAACAACAAATTCGTTTGATTAACTCACGTAATAATCAACAGCTTCCTCGTGATGTTCATCTGATCGTTCTTCAGCATGTTCGTAGCCAGAAGAAACGGTTACGACGATAAGAAATGCAACAATCGCTAAGAGCTGAAAATTACATCATATTAGATTTTGAAATGAACTTTTGTTTGACTCTTGCTGTGTCATGAATGCAAGATGGAAAGATGAAATGTGTTAGACATGATGCAACATCGATAATCTATTAATGAACATATCGTACAAGTTCACTTTCTTTTCACTGTCGTTTGTTTATTTACTTAAGAAGTGGCACTGGTTTTACCAAGTCTACATCCAAATGAAGATATCAATAAACTTGAACGTGATCTTTTTTTTCAATTTCCATGATTTTATTTCCATGTAATTTTACTTCCTTTATGAAACCAGCGTCAATTGATTACGCCACAAATTACTTGCACTTTTTTGTTCTCTTTTGTACTTACTTTAAATTCCATATTTAGATATTTTTTGTTGTTGAAACTTTTTTTGTTATTATAATTAAGATTTTTTTTAACACTTCTTTTCTTTTTCACTATCAAGAAGTAAATGATGTTTTTAGCAAACAATTTCTGCAGTTTTATACAATTTTTCATGTACTGAGAGTATTTTGGTACGCATAGAAAAAGAAGTGGTTAAAAGAAAGCGAAAACATGGTTTAAGAGTGAACTGCATTAAGCTTATATGAAGCTTGCTAACACCAAGTAGGAAGGGTAAACAATTCAGTTGCACGTTAACTGTTTCGAATTAATTACATCGTCTGGTGCATCAACAATGTCTTTTCTTTCATCTTAATTATGACAGAACGGAAATATTTTTATATAAAATGATTAATAACAAAATGGTTTGCTTGCAAATTAATTTATTAATTCAGATTTAATTTGATTTCTTTTTCAACTAGATAGATACTTAAATTAACTTGATAATTCATCATAATAACATATTCTAAAGTGTGATTACGTATATCAACTAACTAACTAGTTAACACTTTAATAATCGGAGAAAGGAAATTTCAAATTGAAATTGCTTAACCAACGATTAAAGAGTAAATAAATAAATTAAGTAAATCAATAAAATCTGAGTAAATATCAGCGAAATTAGCGAAAGTAATCGTCAAAGTCTGAAGTGTTATCGTCTTTTGATTTCATTTTCTTTGTTGTTGTTTGCTTCGAACCCGATAGACTTAAACTTGCTTCCTTCCTTTTATCCAGAAAGTCTTGAAACCAATCAGATTCAGTGTCATCAACATCAACTTTGTCTTTGTTCTTTTTCTTTTGAGATTTCGTGTTTGTTTTCTTCGTGTAGACAATATTTGGATTTGGAGTGATTGGTGCTGAGACTATTGGTCGATAGGAGTTTTGATTTGAGTAGACATAAGGATAAGCTTGGGTTTGGGATAAGTAAGAGTTTGGTCTGACATTGATAGGAGCTGGTCCGACTTGATAACCATTGTAAGGTCTGTTTATAGGAAATTGACCATGATTTGCATTTAAATTATACATATTAGGGGAATTATAATTCGGATATTGATTATAAGCACTAACAACTCCCGTTCCATAAGTTGGAGTCATGTAATTTGAGTTGCTATTTGTTGGATACATGTAGTTGGGAAGATTCCCATTACTAAAGACTGAAGAATCAATATTTCCCGACAACATTACATTTGAGGGAGAAGATGTTGGTGATATGTAGTCTGACTGAACTGACATCGATTGTGGTCGATTGTTATTACTGAAAAGATTAAAAGGATTGAGATTTGTGATGAGAGTTTGAATTGGGTTTTGATTTTGAGTTTGATATTGATCGTTCTGTGCTGCAACATTTTGAGGTTGTTGCTGAAAACTGTTGAAAAAGTTTGCTAAAGGATTATTCATTGCTAAATTCGATAAGAAACTCATTACAGGTCCCTGAGTCTGATCATTTTGATAATTATTATTGCCATACCAAGTGTTTGTTGGTCGATTTTGTTGACTAAATGAACTCTGACGTAAAAAGCCGTAAGGAGATAATTGAGCTTGCATTAATTGCTGTTGATAAATTGCATTTGCGTTTTGTTCATCGGAAAGTGCATCATGATATTTATAAAAGTTTGGATTAAGGAGAACATTGTCTTGTTGATAATCAGTAGGATTATTTGGCGAACTTACTGATTCGGGAAGATTTGGGTTTTGATTTGAAGGGAGATTAATCATATGAGTGGGAGCAATGTTCTGCTGCACTAAAGGATATGGTTTTGGGGCAAATGAGGGTTGTAGTTGAAGTTCAAGTTTCAAAGGAGATTTGATTTTTTTGGTGTCACTGCTAGCACTGTTGAAAATTTAAATTTTCAAGTAAATTTCTTCTTACAAATAAAATTGATAAGAATTTACCGATATCCAAATCGATCAGCAATATATCTGGTGATATGTAAAGTATCATCAGGCAGTAAAACTCCATAACTTCCTCGAACAGTTCCGTTTCTTAGCTTTTCTTCGTCACGAAATTGAACATTTCCTGTTGCAGGATCTTCAATCTCATAACCAAATGCATACGTTCCAGGTCCTTAAATAAATATTTGATGATTTTCAATTGTTTATTTAATCTCACATTCCTACCGTTTGGTGAAATAATGTTATACGATGGATATTGAGCTTGACTTAATCTGGCAGTTTCGGGAAAGTCACGAAAGCTTCTACTTGTACGACAAGTTGCATAATTCACAAGGAGTAAACCGAATACCTTCAAAACATAATTTAACATTAATGAAAGCTCTTTTTTACAGTTACAATCGATTTCTTGTATAAACACTTAATTAATTATTTATGAACATGAATTTTCACTCGATTAACATTTTCGCTATTCAAAAAATTATCCCAAAAGTTGACGAAATTGTGAGATTAAAAATATTGTAGAAAAGACTTTGAAAAGGATTTTTTTTATGTCACGCACTAATTATTTATTTATTGCATTTCTGTCTGATTATCATTTAAAATGTCTACAAAATCATAACTCAACAAAATCCATTGGGTAGAATAATTTAACATAAATTTATTAGATATTTAAACTCATTAACATTATTCACTATTTAGATATTGCAAGAAAATGTTGTTTAATTATTATTTATTTATAATAAATTTCCATTTATTTATAAACTTTTATTATGCATTGTTTTATTTAATGAAATATTTAAACAAATTAAACTGCAACTCTCGAGCACATTTCAGATTTTTATAAGCTTTTTGTTCTTTTCCGCAAAAACTTACTAATCTTTGTATCATATCTGTAACATTAACTAAATTTATATTAAATAATTTAACATTTAAAAGACGCTCACAAACTCCCGAATGTTTCAAATTGTTCCGCAATACTGAAACTTTTTTAAATATCCTATTTATATTTATAATATTTTGAGAGACAGAAAGAGTCATCAAAGAACTTTCTACACATTCGCTTCTTGCAAAAACTTACAAAGATTTGCTTGTATGAATATTTATTCTTTTTATCTTATGAAAAAAAAAATTGTTGTTACACAAAATCTGAAATAAAAACGTCTGTTGTTAGTAATTTTCTTTTAACATCCTATGTGTAGATTCTGTAACCAAATATAAGAAGTTTATTCAACCTGATACATCATTATTTTGCGCTACTTTGGTAAAAGAATGAACCACGCGTCAGCGTCACGATTATTTTGTTTAAGCGACCGAATCATCAGTTAACACTATAAAAATGTAGAAATATAAATTTTTTAAGCATCTCAATATTAGTGGGAGCTGAACAGTTCTCAAATGACACTTAAATGGATGTCGAATAAAAAAATGTATAAAGTCCATTCCTTATTGCATGTGCATTTAAAGCTTTCATCAAAAACGGAGCCGTCTAGTTTTTATTTGATTGTTGGACGACACTCGATGAGCTGAAACTTTATGATATCTCTTGACGAACTTCAGACTCAACAGAAGTGGAATATCAAATGTCTAATAGTTGGCATGCTCATTTAATAATGAAATTGATACTTTCTTAACATGATGGGAAAGAATTCTTGAATGACTGACAAGTTCGTATGATGCGGTTTTATTTCATAAAGCACAACAGGTCAGAAAAGCTGTTGGAACAACATTTATGATTTCTGAGGCTCTGACATTTCTTTCCCACAAAAAATGTTACTACAAATAAGATTTGAATTTTAGTCACGGCCAAACAAATGTTTCTTTCTTGTTGTCAGATCTTTATACCGAAGGTTTTGGTATATTTATTGAAACTAACAATGGTCCATTATTATGAATGACTTAAATTGAAACCTTTGTAAGTACAAAGTCTTTTTGCATTTATTTTTTACTGTTTCGGAGAAGAACTAAGATTTTTACCGTTTATTTCTTTATTTTAACTACTTTTAGAGATTCTGACACATTTCCAAGTTATAATTATTCGGAAGAATTCAATTTAAATCTGGCCTTGCTTTAAGGGTTTTCACGTTATTGCTTATTACATTTTACCAAATATGAACACACAAATTAATGAAAAATTGTTAAATTAAATTGTTCGATTCATTAAAAACCTCCATTGGTTAATAATTATTTATTCTGAAAGTATTCCGTTAGCTTTCCTTTCATGGTTTGATTTGATGATATCATTCTTTATAGTATTAAAGATGAACAATTTAAGTTTCTATCCTTTTGTCCCGATTAAATTTATTTATAAAGCAATCTCGATGAATGAATTTTTCATTTCTAAATGGCTACTTTGTAACGACATAAACAATATTGCAACATATTTTGCCATGCTATTCAATTATTTTATTTCGTCATTAAAGAAAAAAATATGACAAAAAGGTAAATTTAAAAACACGAATAAGTTTCTCACATTAATGAATATAAAAGCACGCAGAAAATTGAAACTGAAAGAGAAATAATTTGTGAAATATCAATTAAAGTTAGAAACATCAGATTCCTTCATTTCAAACTTTTATTATAACATTTAAATTGCATATTTAATTCATCACAATCTTTTTTTTTATTGATTTTCACTTGCATCTGTTCAGAATATTGAACATGATTTCAAAGCCTTATTTCACGATTTAGTAGAAGAATGAATAACCAACCAGTAAAATAATATTGCATAACAATGAAACGAGAATTAAAAGTTGTTGAATGCAAATTTTTTAACAGTTTAAGATATTCAACTGCACTGATGCTTCACTGAGAAAAATTTGCTTGTAAGCTATGAAAAACTTTAAAGAAAAGTGAAAGTTGAAAACAGAACGAGAGGAAATTAAAGTTTAAGCTTAAGTAGGTATCACAACTACATTTAGTAGATTCCAGAAAGAATGAAATGCAAGGCGATATTAAAATGAATTGATATGTTTAGGTAGGGTCTATTCGTTATGTTTTGTTAGCTGCTGGTTATCTCCTTTTCAATGGTGATATGCATGAATCGGGCTATGATGAATAATGGGAGCGGCATGTATAGCGGGGGCAGTTCTGTGCACTACTGCATTGAAACCTAATGAAAGAGAGAAGAATAATTTATGCATTGTCATGATTTTATGTAGCATACGAACCATTATGATCATCAGCTGTGTAGTCAACAGTTCTGATTGAACCATCGGGTTCAACTAAGGAATATTGGCCTTTAACTACATCTCCATCACGATGTTCACTTTGTGATTTGATATCTCCTGTGTGTGGGTCCTTAATGCCATAATTGAATGAATATTTTGGATAAGCTACTGGTTCAGCAACAATTTTATGCACTGGAGCGTGGGCAATGACCGGAGCATGATGATAAACTGGAAGTGGTGCGTAGACTGGACTGGCAGTAACTGTAGCAATTAATATGGCTGCAACAAAGATGCACTAAAATCAAGAACATTTTTTTCTTAGTTAAACATTTCTGATCACTTCATTTTCACAAATATTTTTCTCATTTTTTTTATCTCATTTCAAAGAACTTTTTTTTGTGTTTAAATTTTAAAAGCTTAAATCTACCTTCATGATTATTCTTCAATATGTTTTAATATTTCTAATATTTTTAAAAGCCGTTTTTATGCTTTGATGCTTGAAAACCAACTGATGTTTTCCAATGACACATGTTACCTTTTATACTAATTGCAAAAAAGTTTGCTTGCTAATGCTTGCAGCATTACAGTTTCATATAGTTGACTTCCAAAATAAAACGTACACAGTTGTTTGGAGACTTCATTCAGAAAATGCTATTGCATTTTATTCAGCCGTTATTGCTTAATATTGTTCGGTATAGAAAATCACATAAGTTAAGTTGTGAGCAAATACAAACAGCGCACAAAGTTCAATTACGAAGAGGGAAAAATAAGATATTGATCGAGAGAAAAAGAGACAGATATTCAAAAAATGCTTAAAGTTTGAGTTCCCCACCAACCATTCAGTCCCAGTGCATTTTCTTATGCCTCATGATTTAGTTGGATGCGTTAAAGCTTCGATATTTTAGTAACCTTTAGGTATAGGTTGCTGCACAACTCATTATTTCACGAAAAACGAAATTAATGAAGTAACAAATATTGAAAATAACAACATGTAAACATTTAACGTTTCTTACAATTTTTATTGCTTTTACATTGAGGTAAACAAGATATTTTATACCTATTTGTTCTTCTCTTATAGGAAATTATAATTAAAAGTATCATGAAATTCTTTCTAAGGAAATATTTGCAATTAACGTTTGAAACTTAACTTATAAACATTTAACGTTAATGACAAAACTTTCTCAATAGTTTTTCTGACATTTCAATAAATTCTTAATTTACTTTATAGACTTCGTTCACAATTAGTATTTGGGTGGCTGACATAAGGTAATAATGATAAAAAAATGCTGCAATTTAGGAACTAAAAATATCTTCCGAATTCTTCAGGCGAAATGGACGAGTAAGCTCCATTTAATGAACCTAAATTGGTAATATTTCCTTTGTTAAATTGAACTGAAGTAATAGAATAACATTTATGAAGGTTTGTAACCTTTTGAACTGTTCATTTCATAACAATCCTTGGAAAACTTCCGTTCAATGACATGATTGTCATTTCGTATTCGTGTCGTTTAATGATGAAAATATTTCATCAAAAATATAGTAAAAAAAATTGTAATTTGTCTTTAATCTCAACAAGTCTTTTTTTGTTTTGTTTTGACTATGGATGAATAATTATTTGTAGTTAATGCAAAGATATTTGCATGATACAAAATATTACACTCTACTCTAACTATCTGTGCACATCAAAGTCGTCACAAGTCATTCAAATGTTGTAAAATTGATGCTTTAAGTAGTAGGTAGATACAATTAGCTGGAACTAATTTAAAACCCCAACTTAAAGCGGAAGGCAAATAAACATTTTGTAATTATTTGCTTCATATGAATTCATGTTTTCGATAGAAAAGGTCAAGAATTTGTGCATTAAAAGCTTTAAGTGAGAAATTCTTAAAACTTCCATCAATTTTCATATTTATGATTAATTTTTCTAAAAAAGAATCTCAAATAATTTATTGCCAATATTAATTGAAGTTTCTAATAAAATCTCAATAAAATTGAACATTAATCGACGATCTGTACTTTATGTATCTTTAATATATTTTTAACAGAATCGTGTCTAACCACGATGAACTTTAATTGAGACACGTTTTGAAATGAATTATTATGATCCATGGTCAAAGTTTTTTGTTTAAAAAACCATTCTTCAGTTCTTGAAGCAATTTCTGATACCTGCTTGTTGTTATTTAAAGCTTTTATTTGAATTTAGGGTACTCAAATAGCGCATGACGTCATAATGAGAACCCTACTTAAATACCATGAACTTCTTATTAACATAAAACTGTAAACAACATGATAGGACTAACAAGTGATAAATTTCAATAAAATCTTCAAGACAAATATTTAAATTGCAATCTTAACTTTACAACCTGTTACAAAAAAAATCAATTGGCAATTAAATGATTTCAAAGATTTTAGTTATTTAATGATGCATAAATATTTAAAAAAGTAATGTTTCTAAATCTTCGCAAATATCGATTTAAAACCTGTTCTATTGAGTACATTGAAGTTGACGCCATACGTAAGTATCTACCGGCACTTTAAGAAATACTTGAATGAGTAACACGAAGAAAGCAAAAGTAAAGTGAAAAAAAACTGACATATATCTGATACATTGAATACAATTTTCCTACCCAGCACTATAAAACTATGTTTCAACGCAATATTACTGCTCTTTAAGGTACACAGATACGGGAATTGTGAAAGAAATTTCAAAAATTCATGGCGTGTCATTAAAAGTTGCAGTCGATTCAAAATACGAATTGATAGAATGCTTTTAAGCTTAACTAAACAAATGCAATGTAATTATAACCGTTTTAAGTAAATTTACCTTTTGTTTCGCTTATTCATATTGTTTTAATTATTTTTATTTATTTTAAAATTCAGATTTTCAATATGTTCGTGTACAGTACAAGTTTGAAATAAATTAATTTTCTTAGAGAAAAATCATTCGAATATTTACCAAACATTCACATTCAAGAATTTTTTATTACTTGTCTTAATTAAATTGAGAAGATTAACTTCAATCTTTGGTTAATTTATTTTATAAACGATGACATTGAACGTGCTTGGGAAGCAAATAAAATTTTTCCTTCGTCTGTAATTTCAAAAATTATTTATCAAATCTATCACATCTAAAACACAAGAAATCAAGTCATTTAGATTAATGTTTAAAAGATTGATTTCTTTTATAGTTTATATTAGATAATTATAACACAAAAATAACAATAACACCGAGACAAATCAAGATATCTATTGACTGGTGGGAATTTAAATATTTCTCTTCTTTTTACAATTCTTACATTTTATAATACTGCGATTTTGTGTTTTTGTTTTCAAATGTTAACAACCTGTTTCATCATGCGTAGTCAATAGCGTTAGTGAGGTATAACAATGTCGGGACGATCTGTAAGCTTGACTGCAAGTGTTGTTTATTTACGTTCCTTCTCCAATGCTTCCGTCTATGTTTCCGCTTTACTTATTCATATTTTTTATGATTGTACAATTACTTTGATGAATTGAAAACACGAGTTTTAAATTAGATGTAAATACAACGAAATAAACATAGAAATGTAATTACCAGAAAATATTCAATGTGAAGAATACAAATTGTATCAATTGAATGTCTGCTTCTCAAGAATCTATGAGTTGCCTTAGAGAAATAAAGCTTCTTATGAAAGAAAGAAGCTTTGAAAGACTTAACATTGACCTAAATATGAAATAATTATAAATATCTATTTATAATTACTTTACTACCTAAATAAGTAATTATTGTTGCGATTTATTCAATGACTTGTCAATTAAATTTGTGTGTAAGCTTTACGCTTACCTTTCAACACTTTCTTTATTTTCTATGTATCCATAACTAATTTTTTTACACTTTGATAAAACTTGAGCTATACCGATAACAACAAAAAAATGTTGAATGAAAATTATTTGAGTGTTGCTTAAAAATTAAGAGAATATTTTTCGATATCTCTGTTATTTAATACATCACTGAGTTTCTTTCTTTTTAAGCTATAAATATTAGCCGCTTTTAGTGGATAAGCATTAGTTCATTTAAGCATTTCAATCGATAATATTTAGACGTTTTAAGGAGAAAGACTGATAATAAAATGTCACTAATTAAAGTGCGAGTAAGAAAAAGATAAAAACGCAACCTAATTAATAATTTTTCTTTTTTTCTGAAGGTTTTAGCTTTAATTGCCTTTTCTCATCTAACTGAAGCTAAACACAATCATGGAGGTGCAATTGGCTATAGCTTTGCAAAGTTTTCTGGCCCAGTTTCTGGTAAGTTATTCTCAATTCTCTTTTTTCGTTTCAATGAATTTAAAATTAATTTTTTAGGTCCTGTGAAAGAAGTTCACTCTCATAGTCCACATCATGGACATACAATTGATTACGTAGCTAAACCTGATTATCAATTTGAATATGGTGTGGAAGATCCCAAAACACAAGTTTCACAGTTCAGGAAAGAGAACAGACAAGACGATGCCGTTGTTGGCGAATATTCTTATACTGATCCATTCGGTCATGTAAGAACAGTTAAATACACAGCAGATAAACTTCATGGCTTTAGAGCTGAGATTTATATCGATGGAAAATTAGAAACACCGCAACTACCTTCAACACAACCCGTGACATCTCACGATCAACCTCAAGAAGATTATAAAGAAAATGGAGATTACTCAGGAGAAGATGAATAGATTGTCTAGAAAAATATGAAAAGAAAATTTATATTTAATTAAATTTAACTGAATAGTAGAAAAACAATATTCTTTTAATAATGTATTATGTAGACAAAAGTGTTTGGTCGATTTTATATGCTTAAGGTTGTTGATTTTCATTTAGGTTATCAAGTTTCATGACATTTCTAAGAATTCGTTGGATGGATATTAATTTGCAGCATGGCATGTTCATTGCTAAAGTAAATTATAGATCTAGTTCATTAACTGCAAAAGTATGAACGAAATGTTTCTCATATTAGATTAATGCGTGGTTGATCAATTTCTTCAAAAAACGCTTAATTTTGAAAATTCAACAAAAATCTAGC